AATATACCTACAAGCTGATTGCGGTAAGGGACTGGGTATATGACCAACTGGTCCAACTTCTGGAATACTTCACTTTCAATCTCCTTGACCTTGTCTTTCCCCCCTCTGTTCTTCTGAGCTATCCGAGGTCCCGTCTCAGAGCTGACTGTGTTGTTACTGTCTTTTTCCTTAAACGGTGAATGCCTGAGGGCAGGCGTATTGTCTTCTTTGTGTTGAAATACCAGGATCTAGCCTGGCATACAGCAAGCTCGCTTGTTAAGTGAACTTTTCAGGCAGGCTCAAATACCAGTCACTACGGGTAAATCATTCTCTCAGGAGAAAAGCTTCCCTTATTCCTAATCTACCTCCATTTCCTTTCTCAAACAGACCTCCACCCCCCCTTCAAGTGACGTTCAGCTGGTAGGCTCACCCAGGAGATTCTGAGGGGACTGTCTCATCTGATCCTCTTATTCTTCTAGATGGCCCTTCCTTCATCGCTGACCCTTCCTTCCCACACACCTGCCATTGGTAGATCCAGCCTTTAAGGCCGAGAGGAGGAGAAAGGACCGAGCTACAGAAACCTTTCAACGTGGGTGTTGACTTACTGACTCCTGTTCTTTTCATACTGGGGTTAAAAGCTGAAGGGTAACCTTGATTGAGCAGAGGCCCAGGGAGGCCTCCTCGTGCGGTCCAGGGGGAAAAGCACAGGGTTCACGTTTGAATCCTCGCTCTGTAGCCCTTGTGCTTTACTTTGATTGAATCACCTCCCTCTCAGATCCTATTCCCCGCCCTCCGCCCCCCTCCCCCCCAATTCAGACTAAAGTCAGTGGTTGCCAAATGCTGTTCTCAGACTGGCTACCACCTCATAATTACTAGAAGCTTAATATACAACATAGACTCTCCAGTTAATGATCAACTATGGCTGTTAGTGTCACATAAAAAAAAGATAAGAACATGTTATGTGCCTCCAGATGAGAGAATATCCCACCTAGAAAAATATCAAGTATTCCTGCCACAAACAAAATCTGAATCTCATCAAACCTCTAAATCTATTCATTTATGGAAAATTCAAGAGACAGAGGATCATGTTAAACAGTACCACGGGGATTCAGTCAGTCTGCAGGAAACTTCAGGAAAACAACCCGGGATCAGCAAGTAAACCGCAAAAAGGGAGGGATTAGAAACCTGCAGATGAAGAGATTTAACTTTAAGGGACTTAAACATGTCCACAAGGTGCTGATTTAAACAAATCAGGGGAGGGGTGCCTGGGTGGTTCGGTCGGTTAAGCGTCCGACTTCAGCTCAGGTCATGATCTTGCAGTCCGTGAGTTCGAGCCCCGTGTCGGGCTCTGTGCTGACCGCTCAGAGCCTGGAGCCTGTTTCAGATTCTGTGTCTCCCTCTCTCTCTGCCCCTCCCCTGTTCATGCTCTGTCTCTCTCTGTCTCAAAAATAAATAAACGTTAAAAAAAATTTTTTTAAACAAATCAGGGGATTAAAAAAATAGGGGAGTGAACATTGGACATTTTGAATTATGAAATTATTGCTATTTTTT